CTGAGGCAGGTACCTGTCTCTACCCAACATGGATTAGCTCCACTGGTCATGGCTTCTCACTAGAACTCCGAGAATTCCCTTACGAAGCTAGTCACTAGTGAGCATATATTAATTACTAGTATAGGGATTGTGGAGATTATTAAGTTTTTGATTGAGATCATGGACCGATTGATGTTAGACCACCTGGAATTTCATTGTTTATCACAATCCAAATATTTTAAGATAGAGAATAATGAAAAGAATGTGAAATAAAATCAAGGAATCAATGTATATGTCTTATAAATATTTAAAGCATAAGAATACACCTTAAACATTGTTAATTTATGAGATAAGAATAAGGTTGCTTCATGTTTCTAATTAAATTTTATTACAAATATAAACCAATAAATTTCACTTCTGTCATCCAAAAGTTGAACACTTTTCACAAGATTTCAAGGTATTTCAAGGATTCAATCCCTTTTGATGGAATTGTATATCAGGACTACTGTGGAACAGTATTGTACAAGGATGATACAGCTGTAAAATGTTTCCTGATGTATGTTTGATAAGGTTTGTTCATAATATTTTTTACAAATTTCTTATGACAACAAACTGGTGTCTGCAGTTCTACTGTATGGAGCTGAAATATAGAGAACTACTACAACCATCATCGAGAAGGTACAAGTATTTATAAATGGTTGTCTATACAAGATACTCAACATTCATTGACCGGATACCTTAAGCAACAGCCTCCTCTGGGAGAGAACAAACCAACTTCCAGCTGAAGAGGAAATTAGAAAAAAATGATGGAAATGGATAGGACGTACATTACGCAAATCATCAAACTGCATTACTAGGCAACCCCTAACTTTGAATCCTGAAGGGAAGCGGAAAAGAAGAAGGCCAAAGAACACATTACATCGGTAAATAGAAGCAGATATGATAAGGATAAATAACAACTGGAAAGAGCTAGAAAGGATTGTGCAGGACAGAGTTGGATAGAGAATGCTGGTGAGTGGCCTATGCTCCTTCACGAGGAGTAACAGGCGTAAGTAAATGAGTAAGTAAGTAAGTAAGTAAATGTTTACGGTAATGAAACTTTATTTCGTAATTGTACTACATATTACCATTGGATAAACAATTTACAAAGGATTGAGTGATTAACTTATATCTTTAATAACTTTACTATCTCTACCACTACGAGATTTGAATCGAAAACTGTATCTCTCTTCTATTGTAGTATGGTAATTCGAACTGATGTTCGTGCGTACGAAGTTCTACGTTGTTACTGACTGACTGATTGACTGAACTTTAGTTTGACATTTCTTGTAAATTAAATAAACCGATGTTTAATAAGACATTAGAATATGTCAAGTGACAATCCTTTAAACCTAAACTGTGGAGAGTAAGCATAATGAAACTGTTTATTTAAATTCAATGGATAATCATAATAATCCGTTATACATTTTGTCTCCAAATAAAGTACTAACGTACATTTCAGTATTAGTTTAACATTAATAAAAGAAAGTTGTTGAAATGTTAGGTAGTTGGGGGTAATCAGTTGAATACTCTGCTCGACTTTGTTTTTTTTAATGCTAGTTGGCACTTGTCAGCACGAAACAGGGCGATGGATGAACCAATCAGATTTATGAAAACAAGTCTTAGATTTCAACGCAAAATTCATTCATTCAATTGTCTAAATAACGTTTCGGCATTTTATCTGATGTCCTTTCGTGATGAAAACTATAAACTTAATTTCTGAAACCTACCTATCAAATGTAAATCCTAATTCTAATTTCTCACGCTGGTTTATAATCCTCATTTGGTTCTAGTTATTAGGTGGGCACTCTCAAAGTCATTTTAGCATCTCTCAAAAGTTGTTCATAAATTATAGTCTCACCGAAAAATAAAAACATACCACTTTCATAGTCCTTCATAAGTTTCACAGTATTTAAGTTGTACACTAATTATTGGAACGACTATACATATCCATATGTTAAACGGGATTATTAAATGAAAGGGAATTTAATATACTGGGATTTATGACCATTTAGAAAGAATGTTAGTTTAGACGTTTGAATAGACCGACTTACTCTCGGTATAGTGACAGTAACTTAAGAAGGTAGTTGAAGCTAATTATTTCCAAAGTGTTCAATATTTCACTGATAAAATAAGATGATACACAGTCTCTTTGGTTTTATTATTTTTATCCAGATTTCTAACTTTAGTAACATGTAAAAACTTCACTTATTATATAAAGGTTTGTCAATATATCTCTAAAATTAATAGTTGGATTCATGAGTCGATTTAAGCTAGACCATCATGGGAAACCTGAATGTATTGGATAAACGTTTCGTTCTAAGATAGGACTATTCAGAAGTGCATATTCACGATCCTGCACGCGGGAGTCGAATCCAGGATACTTGGTCTCGTCTCATGAGAATACCTAACCTAACTAGAATAATGAGCTGGCTTGAATACAACCATGTTAATGTCTAACTTCAATCAATTCTAAACTATAATTTACAGGGTAATTGTGTCTTTTATTAATTTCTAAATCACATGTTATTAGTTCCATGATTAGTTCTGTTTCAAGATATAAGCATATGTTTCAGTAAAAGTAAAATAACCTTAAATATATTCAAATAACTTTCTAAAATGAATAGAGAAACAGGTTCGTGAATAGTCGGAAATCATCATGAATGAATATACTATGGACTCATATTTATACACTATTCAAATGCTTCAAACTAGAATGACACAGCTATTGATTATTCATTTACATGTCAATGTCAAGGTTGGACTTGATACTTTCAAACAAACTGAGTATTAAGTAAAACGATAATAACAATAATATATATGTATTTTTGTTACATCACAATGAATGAAATAATTGTATTACCGATGTTTCGTAACTTCATGTAAGCTACTTCTTTAAAGTAAATAAATAATCGAATTCTACTCTGAAGAAGTGGCTTACATTAACTTACGAAACGTCGGAAATACTATTTTTCTACTCATTGAAATATAACAAAGAATATTTATTATTGAATGATTAACAGTTTTGTAACAGATAGCAAAACATAAATGAAGTTAGAATTGGAATAATCATGAAGAATCTAGAGAACAATTGATGGAAGTTTACAAATGAAGTATTCAATGTATGGTTTTAACATTTTATAAAAAAGTGGTTGTCACCAGCTGAGTTCTCGTCCACTACAATGTTAACGTGCATAACTTAATGTAGTTAAGTGTATTGCACTAAAACACATTTATAGTCAATAGTTCTAATTAGTCATTTAAGTTTTAGCAAGTCAAGATTGATTTGGACAACTGGTTTAAGGATTGAAATTCGATGTTTTATACAAATGAGATACAGTTATGGCATGAGATGTATTTTGGTGTGTGCTATTGATGTCGACAGATATAAGTAGTATGTAACATCAAGTGAATATAAAATGCCTGATAGGAGAAAGTTAAGAAGATCGAATAAAAGAGAATAAGAACAGAGATTGGTTGATGTGGAAGTGAAAGAACAATGAAGTGTGAGACGATTGATTAACATTTTACACATCAAGTGTTCACTGTAAAGTTCTCAGATTTTACTAAGAAACTCTGTAATTTTGTGTCTGAATACATTTGGTTATTCCCATTTGTGTTCTTTGTTCACTACAGTATGATAAAGCATTTAAGTATAATATAATGACTTTCTTTCTTCACTCACAATTATAGTAAACATTGAATAATATCTAAAGCTGACCATTGTTAGATTATAAATGAAAATTTACATTTGTAAGTTAGACCACATATTAAAGTCAATGAAGATGGGGTAAGGGATCCATTTAGGTTCACTTTGTATATTTGTTGTGGGGAAAAAAAGAGACACCCCTGTAATAAATGCTTTACACTGATCATTTATGAAGTCATTTTTGTACAATGATACAACTGTGTATATACTTCAAAAGATTTACAAATTAATATCAGAAGAGGTTTTGTGGATATTATACTAATTTTAATGGTTAAGATCATGAGTCAATTGAATCTAGACCACCATGGAAGACCTATTGTGGGACACTTTAGCATTGCGCAGTAGGACTAAACAGCCATCCAATGCTTCCAAGTTTCCCATAGTGGTCTAGTTTCAATTGACTCATGATTTTAACCATTAGATTTAGAAATTGTTTGATAAGCTAGTAAGCTACCTCATTTTAGAAACTATAAATGAGAAATTACAACATTTTTTTATGATTGCAAAGAACTTTACAACTAGAATCATGTTGAGCAGTGCGAAGATACCATTTTATAGATTGAATCAAATCAGTAACCGTTTAAAGACAAACAATTAGAATAATTCATTTAGAACATTGAAACATAATGTAATGATACATCACGGAAAGTAAACCTGTTTAAGTCGTGAATATAGTAGTTTATATTACTAATTTCATGGTTCATTAGCTCATTGAATCTATCTGTATATAGACATATGAATAGTAAATTTGTTACAATCAATGAATATAAAGTTGACTAATCAAGAAATTGTGACAAACATTTTGACAAACAACAGTTATTACCTAATGAATTCATTTGATATTGTTTACTTGAATCGTCTCATTGATGTTCAGGATTGATCAATTGATTAGTCTCTTACTGGTATATATGCATCCTGTGCGTATTACCTTGATATTACTTTAATTCACAAGGATTATATGCAAAGATGAATAGTAGCAAAATAAATGATGTCAATTGAATTTAAACTTCATTCTATTGCACAAACAAGTAGCTATCAGCACTCAGTACCGAATTACATAACACGATGGCGTTTGAAATGAACAGTACTGAGTTTATGTCCTACAATGAACATCAACTCGTAAGATGCAGATACATCCAGTTGACGAGTCTCAACTAGGACGAAACATGAGTCCTAGATTCCATTGCTTACCATGATTCATCATTGCTTATAATAATTAATACTTAACAGTTTATATATTAAAACAATAAAACGAACAAATTTGCTCACTTACACCTTTTCCTATTCTCTTCTCAATTTCATAACGTTTCAATATATGCGGTTCAAGTTCTGATGACATGAATAATGTTTAATTAATTTACTAAAATAATAACAATATCCAATATATAAAATTATATACATCAATATAGTAGATTCTAATTATATAATAATAATAATAATTTACATTAGAATGATCATTCATTCTATTAACTATTCATTGAAAATTGATTGGACAAGGTCATTATCCATATAACTGCTTTCTGATTGGTTTAAAATATTCAAGGTTATATTATGTAATGTTGATTGGTTGTAAAAATTTGTTTCTCTTTTCAAATTTTAGTTTAGAATTTGATTTATTTATCATTATTTTTATTCATTTTAGAAAATTGAATTCTATATCTGTTGGGTCGGCTTCCGGAGAACTTCAACGGAGCCTCCAGAGGCCCAATCAGATCTTTTCGCAAAGCTGAACGGTGGCAGATATTTTGCAAAATTGGACTTATCAGACGCATACCTACAAATCCCTGTATCTGATGAAAGCAAAGATCTCTTAACGATCAACACACACAAAGGTCTGTTCCGGTATAACCGACTACCTTTTGGGGTGAAGACAGCGCCCTCTATTTTCCAGCAAATTATGGATACCATGTTACAAGGTATTCCAGGGGCAGCAGCTTACTTAGACGACATCATAATTACGGCAGTAGATAAAATGGACTTGCAGAAGAAACTGGACCAGGTACTAGAACGCATAGCCGATTATGGTTTTTGCCTCCGAGCGGAAAAGTATGACTTCTATATGCAGCAAGTACGGTACCTTGGGTTCATAATAGATAAAGATGGAAGACGACCAGATCCAGAGAACATTGAAGCAGTGAAAACAATGCCTAGACCCAGGGACATTACTACCCTACGATCATTCTTGGGATTGGTCAGACATTACGGTACCTTTCTCCCCGATCTCCATCGTCTACGTGCTCCACTAAACAACCTACTACAAAAGAATACAAGATGGAATTGGTCTGCAGACTGCCAAGCGTCTTTTGAGAAAATCAAGCAACTCCTAACTTCCGATCTCTTATTGACACATTATGATCCTTCTCTACCGATAGTCGTCGCTTCAGATGCTTCTAACTATGGTGTGGGCGCAGTTATCTCTCATATTTTTCCTGATGGGTCTGAAAAAGCTATCTCACACGCTGCCAGATCTTTGACAACGACTGAAAGGAACTATAGCCAAATCGAGAAAAAGGCCCTATCGATTATCTTTGCAGTGAAAAAGTTCCACAAGATTGTTATTCAGTAAGCAAAAAATGGATAGTAGTGAATAGTGGAATCTTATTTAGGATTAGGTCAGCTGGATGTATCTACATTTCAAAAAAATTGATTTTCCTTTGTAGGAATTGACGGAGAATATTTGGAAGATGTAAAAACCTTTACATATCTGGACAGCATCATTGTTGAGCACGGTCGATTTGATGCAGAGCTGGAGCCGCGGATCAGAAAAGCAATAGCAGTATATTTAATACTGAAGAATATCTGAAACTCAAAACAACTGTCAACCAACACCAAGGTCAAGATTTTCAATACAAATGTCAAGACATTTCTACGGTATGAGACGGAAACCTGGAGAACTACGAAAGCCATCATCCAGAAGGTACAAGTGTTTATTAACAGTTGTCTATGAAAAATACTTCGGATCTGTTGACCAGACAATATCAGCAGTAACCTACTATGGAAGAGAATAAACCAGATTCCAGAGGAGGAAGAAATCAGGAAGAATTGCTGGAAGTGGATAGGACACACATTGAGGGAAGCACCAAACTGCGTCACAAGACAAGCCTTCACATGGAATCCTCAAGGTCAAAGGAAGAGGAGTGGAAGATCAAAGAACACATTACCCTAAGAAATGGAGACAGACATGAGTGAAATGAACAAGAATTGGATGGAACTGGAAAGGAAGGCTCAGGACGGAGTGTGTTGAAGAATGCTGGTCAGTGGTCTATGCTCCACTGGGAGTAACAGGAGTGAGTATTTAAGTAATGAAGTATAATATAACAGGTCTGTGATTTTGGTGCAAAATTCATTCATTCATTTTGGTTAAATATAGTCTTGACATTATAGCTGTGATGTCAGTTCATGATGAAAAACTAACTTTTAACCATCAAATGAAAATTCTAATTCTAATTCCTCACATTAATTTATAACATTTATTTAGTCCTAGACACTTTTAAGGTCAGTCTAACTTCGTTCAATGATTGTTCATAAATTCTAGTCTCATTGAACAAAATCAATCTAACGAATTTCACTTGCACCTATTCTTCCATGATTTATACAACTATTCAAGTGCATAAATATATTAATCATTGTTCATATCAATGGTTGATGTGTATCTAATTATATTCTTATTGTTCAACAATTGTATAATTCCAAAAATAATTTAAAGCGGATATCAGTGAATTTAAAGAGGTAAATGATTTGTAAGAGAAAGGAGTGATATATTGGATAAACTCAAAAGTACAATATATTGTTACAAGTCAGAATTAATTTGATAGTGCAACAGCTGAAGCAACGTCTGCATCAATAGGCCTCAACATACACAGGGAAAAAACCAAGGTCCTCAAATTCAAAACGGAGAACAGTAATCCAATCACTTTTGATGGCGAAACTCTGGAAGATGTAGAATCCTTCACGTAGTTGAAAAGCATCATCGATGAACAAGGAGGATCTAATGCAAACGTAAAAGCGAGGTTCGGAAAAGCAAGGATAGCATTCCGATAATTGAAATACATATCCAACTCAAAAAAACTTTCAATCAATATCAAAGTCACAATCTTCAATACGAATGTCAAGACAGTTCTACTATATTGAGCTCAAACTTTGAGAACTAGTACAACCATCGTCAAGAAGGTACAAGTATTTATAAATAGTTGTCTACGCAAGATACTCAACATCCATTGGCCGGATACCGTTAATAACAGCCTACTATTGTAGTGAACAAACCAGCTTCCGGCAGAAGTGGGAAATAGAAAAAGACATTGGAAGTGGATAGGACATACATTACAAAAGTCACCAAACTGCATCACGAGACAAATGTTAACTTGGAATCTTGAATGGAAACGGAAAAGAGGAAGGTCAAAAAACACATTACATAGGTAAATAGAAGCAGGTATGAAAAGGATGCATAAAAACTGGAAAGAGCTGAAAACGATTGTCCAGGACAGGGTTGGATGGAGAGTGCTGATGAGTGACCTATGCTTTTCGGTGAGGAGTAACAGGCGTAAGTAATTAAGTAACGTTATACTATGAATGGTATACAGTTAACATATTTAAATCGTTTACTGTATATTGTATCACTTAGAAAACCTTCAGTATACCAGGTTCGAGATTCAAGGGTGAATATTTTTGGAGAGTGTTGAAATTAAAAGAAACAAGTATTCATTGATTTATTATTATCATTTCAAAGTTCTCTTATATACCCAAGATAATGGAGGGCAAGTTATTTTCGGATATTTTTCGTAGCTTGAATTAAATATATAGATTAGTTAACATCTTACACACACAACTTTTTATTCCAAATTTGACGATTGTTCAATGTAAATAATAATCAGATATATAAGCGAAAATGGATGATAGCCAGTAATGGATTTCAGAATGTGCGTTTCGTCTTATTTGGGACTCGTCAGCTGGATGTATTTTCATCTCAGGACTCGAACCCCGTACCGTTTGCTTCAAATGCCATCGCGTTATCCACTTACCTACATAGAGCAATATCGAAGCAATACACACAGTATGCACATATCTCATTAAGATACGGATTAATTGATTAGTGCTAACCAACAATCGAAAGATAAAAGTAAACAATACCAAGTGAATAATCAGATTATTAGATTCTTTTTCATATAAAAGTTAATCTAAGTATCTTTTAACTCAAAAATAAACCCTCCAATTCTCTTTGTTTTCAGTTACATTGATTTAATCGAGATGATCGTCAACACAATCACATCATTATTAGGAACAGCAGTTGAATTATTAACGTATTTTATTCATTATCACTTTTCATCTTCATAAATCCATAGGTTTTAGTGTCAGGAGTGGGATTTGAACCTACGCCCACAGAGTGGGCTATGATTTGAACGCAGCGCCATGGACCGCTCAGCCATAGGTTAAGAAAAGTGTAATCTTAATAACAATTTTATTCATTAATAATGACTTTTATAGAGGTAAGGGATTCTTAATATTATTTGTGAAGTATTGCAATAATACTCTATTTAACATACATCCAAATTGTAATTATTCGAGAATTACATTCTGTTATATCCTAGTGACGATTAAATGATGAATAACTTCTGAGAGCTATTAATGGACTAATATTATCTATATATTCTTATTGTATAACTATTGAGTATCTCGATTATGTATATTCATATTCCCCTTATTATCAGCTTCAGTTTGATTCATAGACCCAGTTTACTAATTACAATCTCCCACATTCACAGCCACTTTTGGCTATAATATCTTGTATAAATGTTAGTTTATATTTTATAGTACAATGTGGTCTATATTTGGTTTGTATATATAACCAGTATGTTTGAAATACATAATTCATATCACAGAGACTGATATTGGTATTGTGGACTTAACAGGCAGAGTTAAGCTGGAAAAAGGATCAATAAGGACTATAGACTGTTCGTACTGGTCAATATGTCAGTGTTTTTGGCACCATGTTAACATCATATTAGGAACGATTAAGTCACATCATATTAATTAACTGGCCAAATATTATAACACACATATATGTATCAACTGTTTGATATTGAAATATTGATTATTGAAAATAATATGTGATCAGTGATAATAACATTTATTGACTGAAAAAGCTCATCAAATAGAAGAGTTGTAGATTTGATCAAAGTGTAAATGTTTGGAACGAACTCTCTTGTTTTAGATTGAGATCATGAACCGATTGATGTTAGACCACCACCTTTGGAAACCTGGAAGCACTGGACGGCCGTTTCGTCCTATTGTGGGACTCCTCAGCAGCGCGCATCCACGATCCCGCTCGCGGGATTCCAACACAGGACCTACGGTCTCGCGCGCGAACGCTTAACCAACTGGACCACTGAGC